AGCTCCTCTGTGATAACAGAAGACCGTGACAGCTTCCAGTTTCCACAGGAAGCTCGGGGCTGTCCGCCAGGCTGCAGATGTTCCAGAGGGGCAGCCGCCCGGCTGCGGTCGACGGAAAGTTGGAGCTTGTTTTCTTCGCTTCCAGCAACTTCCCACAGACGTCACGTCCTGTGGAAATATGGATGTTCCTCGGGATGGACGACACACAATCGCTGGAGCCTGCTGCCCTCTTCAGGCCTGACATTACGCCATCCATCCATTCCCTATACAGCTTATTCCAAATAGAGTATGTTCCGAATAGAGTATGAATATGATGTGGGGTCCAGTATCAGGAGGACAACAGTTCGAGCGATCACCTGGTAATAAGACTTCCCAAGAGACAGATCTGGAAGAACATCAAAGAACTTCTAAAAAAACAGCTTTCAGATGCTCAGACCGGGATTTCCACCAAGTTTCTGAGGAACTGAGCAACCAATTCTGATGCATTATACCCTGTGACACACTCATAGTTACGACTGTCCCTCCATTTTAAACGGAACATCACTTAACAGAATCTAATGTTCACATCCATCCGCTTATTCCCTAATGGGATCAAAGGGGAAACTGAGGCCTATCCCAGTGTTGGTATCCCAATGGGCCAGAGGCGGGGTACATCCTGGATGGTCTGCCAGTCCATGGCAGGGCCACACAGATACACACAACCACCAACACTCAGACTCACTCCTGAGGGCAATCTGGAATGTCCAATCAACCTAACATGCAGGTTTTTGGAGTGTGGGAGGAAGCCGGAGAACCTGGAGAGAACCCGCAGACACAGGGAAAACATGGAAACTCCACCCAGAAAGGTCCCGGTTCCCCCGTGGACTGGAACCCAGAACCTTCTTGCTGTGAGGCGATGGTGCTAACCAACCTAATGTTCACTTATGTGATCAAATTCAACTGTTATTTGAGTTTGTCGGTGTGTAGATCTTTGTTTAATGTCAACTAAAATTACCTAAAGTCACGCTGACTTCACTATTTTGATGGACTACATGTTTATGTGCATGGAAAACGCGCATCTTGAGGTGGTTGGTCAGAAGCTTCTGTAGCTGAGAGCTGCGGCCAGCAGGGGGCGGTCGAACCCCCATCAGCCCGAAGGGATGTGCACTGGTCAACACGCTGGGATCACCTGGACCCACACATTTGAGGAAGAGAGGGAACGTTCGAAAAAGAAAAAAAAAGACAATCCCTCAAAAAATGACAGCAGAGACGAGACTTTCCACACAGACCGCTGACCAAAATATGCCAGAATTGACCATCTCAGGAGCAAACAGGTTCACATATTTAGATATTAAATGATGGAACGGCATATTTGAGACACTGCCTGAAGATGTCAGAGTCTGAATGTGAGCCTAAATGTGTAGAATACGTTTTGGAGGTCTTTAGGTTTGAAGATGATCGAGTTCGTAGTCAACTTTTGACCCGTGGGAGGCCTTTTGAACAGGCAGTCCACCTACATGAAGAGGTGTCTGAACAGGACCCCGCCCCCTGACGGCTGTGTGTGTGTGTGACACGTTGAGAAGGGCCTAGAACACATACACACACACACACAGCCAGGCGTGGCGTCGACCGGCCCTTTCTCTCAGACAGGATCCTCCTCTTTCAGCGGTCTAAACTTAGGCCAGCGGGCTCAGCCGGTCAGGGGTGACGTAAGAGTGACACGGAGGGTGACTACAGCGGCTGAAACTGAAACTGGGAGGGGTGGGGGGGTGATGGTGGGTGGGGGGGGGGGGGTGAAAAGGGTTAGGCCTCAGAGCGAACGAGGCCGAGCGAGCGCCGGGGGGGCACGGAGGGGACGGTACGCCGGCCTTCGGGGGGAATTTCTGCTCCGATTCCTCCGTGAAGCGTCGGGTCACATGGCTCCGCTCGTGTCACTCTGGCCGCGGTGGGCTCACACACACACACACACACACACACACACGAACACGGTGGAAACGCGGTGCTGCTGCTGCTGCGGCGCCGCAGGCATGCGGCTCCAGACGCTATAAATAGCACGTGTGCATTTATGATTCCGCTCAGCTGCCAGCTCGGATTCCGGGGGACAACATCTGCTCCACGCGGCGCCGGCGCAGACGGGTCAGAGAACCGGACACAGTGGTCAAAGCACCCCGGAATCAGTGAGAGAAACGAAGGGGGGGAGAGGGGAGAAACACCAAACAGGTCAGTTGGGTATTTTTATTTAGATTGTTTAATGTTAATTCCATGCTGTGTTTCAGAGAGGACAACACAGATTCCCTGTCTGTGGCTCCAGTCAGATATCCAGTAGTACAAATCAGCTCCAAATTACACATAATGAAGCGACAAAAAAAAAAAAACGAAACGAACGAACGAAAAAGACGGAAGAAAGGGGCTCCGAGCACGGAGCGCCTCGGTGAAAAGCGGGGGAAAGGAAGCTGTGGATTCATGCAGGCATCCACTATGACCTCACGCCTGATCGAAGCTGGTCTTTTACACACCCAAAAAAAAATAGTCTCCCAAATGTGTGTCCCGAGTAAGTTCGGACCGCCCAGCGAGAGAGAGAGAGGAGTCAGCCTTCGGATACCCGGCGTGACTACAGTATTTCAGCACATAACACAGTCCAAGGACGAGCACGGAACACGACGACAGAATCACTATAGTGTAAAAGTTAAGCACTTCTTTGCCCCACGTGGATATCACAAGTTTTTGCCATCTTCCTCTGAAAAACTACATAACGAAAAAAAAAAAAAAAAAAGGGTGCACCGGCAGCTTTTTCGGTGCCCGCAAAAAGCTCAAATAATCCGCTCGACATTTCACTAAAAACAGATAAAATCGCTCCCATAGCTAATATTCAACATTATCAGTAATAAAAGTTAATTTCTGTAATTACATTAAGAAAAAATCTCAATACATCCAGCAACTGATAAAAATATTGAGGAAAAAAGAAAAAAAAAAGAAAAGAAAAGCACAAACAAAAATACAATGATGAAAACAAAGATAACATCTTCAGAACTGTTTGTACCAGGACCAAAAACAGCTAACAACCCAGGGACCTCCGGCTTCATCTTTGTCGTTCTAACATCGTATTTCCTGTCTCGATTAAGTGGTTTTTTATCTGACTGATGTAAGGGCTAATACAAAAATAAAAAAAGAGAAAAAATAAACTTGTTAACTCCGTGGCCCTGCTGGGTCTTGGATGTGCAGAGGGGATGAAGAGGAAAAGGAAGGGGGGGAGGAAAACAAAAGGTGACTCGCCAAAAGGGGGGGAAACAGGTGGGGAAGACAAAGGTGGAGGGGGTGAGGAGTGTGAGGACAGGGGTGGGGGGAGGGGGAGGGGGGGTGTCTCAAGTAGTTGGCTGTTGGTGGCATAGTCTCACTGGGCCTCGTCCTCCACGTCCTGCAGTGCCTCCTTGTTCTGTTCTTCTCCTCCTGGACAGAGAAGAAGGGGCTGTTAACTACAGAGCCACTCAGAGTCCTGACAACACACACACTCACACACACCACGGAGACATGCACTCCTCACACACCACTGGCCCTCTCCTAATGCGTGAGCATGTCTCCAATATGGCCGACTGGGACTGACAGGAGCTGTGCCGAGAACCGCTACAGACTCGGAGGTTTTTCTGTGTCTAACGGCTCATTTCCACCAGGACCGGCTGGTGGAAAGGGGCCTGTGTGGGTTACGTGTGGTTCATAATGCAGCAGGTTGAGGAGCACCAGAGTTCACTAATCTGTGAGAGGCAGACCAAAAAA